AAATCTAACCTCCGTAATCAAAGATTGAACAGATTGAATGATTCTATTCACAATCCTGCTATGTTCTGGAAACAAATTCGTTCATTTAGAAAGAGATCAAATCTTAAAAGTAATATTTCAAAATGTGAATGGATGACACATTTCAAGACAGTTTTTTCTAATGATGCTGTTTTTTCAAGCGATGGTTATTCCTTCGACGATGATATTATCTCTTCAAATGACTATGACACTGTTGATCAAATGATTTTGGAAACACAAATTTCAGTAGATGAGATAAAGAATGCTATAAATAACTTAAAGAGCGGAAAAGCAGCTGGTCCCGACAATATTATAATCGAAATGATTAAATGTTCTCAAATCGAGTTAATGCCCTTCCTCCATAAGTGTTTTAATACTGTATTTGAAGGTGGTTCGTTTCCAGAAAGCTGGTCTCGTTCAATTATCGTCCCTATACATAAAAAGGGGGCTCAAGAAAATCCAGATAATTACAGAGGCATATCTTTAATGAGTGTTATTGGGAAAATATTTACAACTGTTTTAAACAACAGAATCTCAAACTGGTCAAATCTAAGAAACTTAATTCCTGAATGTCAGGCAGCTTTTAGAAAAGATTATTCAACTACTGACCATATCTTTACACTATATGCAATAATACAAAAGTGTCTATCACGTAATAAACACAAACTTTATGTAGCATTTGTTGACTTTAAGAAAGCTTTTGACTCTGTGGATCGTTGTAAATTATGGCACTGCTTACGAAAGTCTGGTTTACAAGGGAAAATGTATTCTATTTTAAAATCTATGTACTTGAATATTAAATCATGTGTTCGTTGTGGTGATGATCTCACTGATTTTTTCGACTGTCCCATGGGAGTTCGGCAAGGGTGTATTTTAAGCCCTGTATTGTTTTCCTTCTTTATAAGCGAACTGTATTATGATATTTCTAATGCAGGTAAACATGGTGTGCAAATGTTTCCAGATATGATTGAAATTTTTATCCTCCTTTTTTGCCGATGATGTAATTTTAGTGTCAGATACTATCGTCGGTCTACAAAACCAACTGAATATTTTGGAACGTTATACAAATGAATGGAAATTATTTGTTAATTTTGAAAAAACAAACATAGTTATCTTTAGAAGAGGTGGGCCTGTCGCCTCTAAAGAAAAATGGTTCTTGAGTGGCAAAAATGTATCTATTGTTAATCAGTATACCTACCTCGGGCTATTGTTTTCCCATACCATGAACTTTAAAAAAGAGTGTTATAGACCTGACATCACGAGCTAAGAAGGCTCTTATTAACGTTATGTCCGTTTCCCAGAATTTTGGAATTTTAACCCCGAAAATATATTTTAAATTGTTTGATGCACAAATCCAACTGATTATGCTTTTATGGGTCTGAAATTTGGGGATATCAACGTCATGAATGTCTAGAGAAACTACACCTTTTAGCATGTAAAAGGTTTTTAAATGTAGCGCAAGCAGCACCAACTTGTATGGTTTATGGAGAATGTGGTAGATATCCGATATATATAAATTCACAAATCAGATGTTTAAAATATTGGTTAAAGATCCTTGGAATGCACGAACAAAGAATCCCCAAACTAGCTTATAACATGCTTGTACATTTAGATGATAGGGTAAGACAACATGGGCGTCTCATATTAGAACTCTTTTATTTTCACATGGCTTTGGATTTGTGTGGCTAAATCAAACAGTTGGTAATATCAATCTATTTCTTAAGCAATTTCGAGAACAATCTGTTAACATGTATTATCAAGAATGGCATTCCTGTCTAGACAACAGTTCAAGATACCAGTTGTACAGATCACATAAGAGCTTAATTCAACCAGAACTATATCTATCTGTATTGACATCTAGAAATACAAGACGCACACTTGTCAATTTTCGATTGGGCTTGTTAGACTTATCAGTAAATAAGGGCAGACGATTTTCAATAGAGAGACGTTTAAGGATATGTCCATTATGTAACTCGGCTATAGAAGATGAAATTCACTTCGCTTTTGTATGCCCACATTATGCTGATTTAAGAAAAAAATATATCCCAAATAATTACCTGTTAAAATATCCTAAATCTGCTTTTGCTTCCATTCTATCTTCCAAAAATGAAAATGTAATACGTAATCTTGCGCTTTATGTAAAACATGCTGTTTTCCTTAGAAGCAATATCTTATCTGAACTGTAATTTCTTTGTAAAATGTCTGTAACATGTGCTGTATATGTACTTGTATTACTTGTATATGGGCCGGAGGCCTTAAGTACAATAAATATCTTTGACTTTGACTTTGACGACAAACAGCGCAGACAGCAAACAATGTAGACATTAAACAGCACAGACGTCAAATAATGCCGACATCAAACAGCGCAGACGTCAAATAATGCAGATATCAAACAATGCAGACGTCAAATAATGCAGACCTCAAACAATGCAGACGTAAAATAATGCAGACATCAAATAATGCAAACATCAAATACCGCACCCTAAAGAAAGCTATGACTGTTGGGTAAGACTTATTTTGCGTCTTCCAACTATTACTATATGGCTTGCGTTATTTGACTACTCTATATTTCCTTGTTTTGATTACAAATTAATCTTCTTTACAAAGTTGGTATTATCTGCAGCAGATTCTAACTATTTTGTGAACATATAGACTCCAGACATCAGTCGTGACACTAAATTCGGTCGACATTACTCGACTGTTTGTAGTAAAACTATATACTGGAACCGCTTTCAGTTGGCTTTGAAACTGTTTAAAAATACGCGCTTTTGTACTTCTTTCTCTATATCGGGGCGGCGGGTTAACCTAGTGGTTAAAACGTTCGCTCGTCACGCCGAAAACCCGGGTTCGATTCCCCACATGGGTGCAATGTGTAAAGCCCATTTCTGGTGTCCCCCGCAGGAATATTGGTGGAATATTGATGAAGGCGGCGTAAACTTAAACTCATTCACTCATCCACTGAGGTGATGACAAATATATTTTTGTATGATGTTAGATGTTAATTTCCAGTTCCTTCATCACTCCGTACATTAATACGGCGTAAACCCTCACTCACTCACTCTTGTCTAAATCCTTACTAGTTTTATGAAGCTTTAAGTGTAACATATGTTATATACTCTCCCCCAAAAGACACGCATCATGAAAATAGCAATTTCATGTAGCAATGAATTAAAACGGGATTCATTTTACAAAAGGTTTTGTTCTGTTTATGAGTCATATGGTGTTTATGTTTTGAAACATCACAACCGAACGCACCATCCGTAAAATACCCGTATTTAACAGCATGATTTTCGGCGTGTAGTGTCACAGAATACACAATTCACATGCAATGCACGTGAAAGTTGGGGATCAGATAGTCTCAGTGATGGGTATAAAAGGTTGATCGCTGTCTGTCGATAATTCACTGTACTTGGAATTTTGTTGACGAACGCAAAATGCCACGTCTAAGTGAAGCCAACCGTCATATCGCCATTGGTTTGCTTGAAGCTGGCCAGTCTCAACGTGCATTTGCCCGACGCATGAATGTTCACCAAAGCACCATTTCACGGCTCTGGGAGATATATCGCCTGCAGAATTCGGAAGCAGATGCCCCTCGTAGTGGGCGACCTCGAGCGACCACTGCGGCGCAGGATCGCTACATCCGGGTACATCACCTGCATCATCGATCAGCTACGGCGACCAGTACCGCTCGACAAATACCCGGATTGAGGAGGCTTTCTGCCCAGACCGTCAGGAACAGGTTGAGAGAGGCTGGTTTACGTGCCAGAAGACTTTATTTTGGCCCTGTGCTTCGACAAAAACATCGTCGACATCGAGTTCAATGGTGCACCAACGTTCAGGCCTGGAACCTACCGAATTGGCGTAGAATCTGGTTCAGTGATGAATCACGATTTCTATTGGAACGACGCGATGGAAGAATGCGGGTGTACAGACGTCGACGTGAACGTTTCGCCGACGCTTGCGTTGCCCAGGTGGACAGATTCGTCCGGGGAAGTGTTATGATGTGGGCAGCGATCACCTGCCGTAGGAGAAGTGATTTGGTGATGATCCAGAGCAACCTGACAGCTCAACGGTACTGTGACGAAATCCTACGCCCACACCTCCTTCCAATCATTGATCGCCAGAGGGAGTTGTTACAACAGGACAATGCCAGGCCCCATACAGCACGTCACACTAGAGACTTCCTCCAGAACCACAACATCAATGTGCTCCCCTGGCCCTCAAGATCACCGGACTTAAACCCGATCGAACATCTGTGGGATGCCCTGGACAGACGGGTGCGACGCCGTAACCCTCAGCCCCAGACACTTCAACAACTCGCACAGGCACTACAGGCAGAGTGGGCTGCGATTGGGCAACACGAGATTCTGAGACTTATTCGTTCGATTCCGAGGCGATGCCGTGCAGTTGTGGATGCCCACGGTGGTCACACGAGGTATTGACTTCAGCGCCACCACACGTCTCCATGTGACACTCAAACTGACTTTGCTCGAGTTTGTGCCAAAGACGGATAAGTCTGCATTCCCAGTGTGCAATTTCGCTATATTTCATTGACTCATAAAGCCTACAAGATGTTTCAAAATAAACATAGAAATAAACTTGAAATTCCTATATGCGTTTCTTTTTTGGAGAGTATATTTAGGATTACACTTTCTTAGTAAAGTACAAATTCTAGTTCTTTTTTGGGTTGAGTCCCATTGGGGATTCGAACCCACACCCCCAGAGTTAGGCACCTTACTTGTCTTGACGAAGGTATAAGTGTAACATATGGTATATATGGGATTACACGTTCTTAGTAAAGTACAAATTCTAGTACGTTTTTGGGTTGAGTCACATCCAGCATTCGAACCCACACCCTCAGAGTCAGGCACCTAATCATCAGCACAAAAAGTCAGCCGCCTAACCCGCTCAGCCACCGCGACGTCCACAGGTTTAAGTGTTCCAGTTATGTCACTACGTGTCAGCTCAATGTGGGAGGAAATCCCGTAGTCAGACAGATAAAAGTCGTTTACACCTTATAGGAAACCCAAGAGCGAGCTGAGGTATTGCAAACCTGGAATCATAATGGGAGCGGTCGGGATTCGTACACGTTCATAATTTTTTAAAAAACGTCACGATATATCACGAGGAATATGTAATATCAACTCCCCAGCGACTGACAACACTGTATACATACATCCTCTTTGTAAATCTACTTCCTTGTGTATGTGTGTGTGTTGGTCGGAGACATGGCGACGACTGATGCTCCGTGCATGCTACATCTTTTGCTGGTCTGTTTCCTTCAGGCATGTCTTTCTCAACACGGTAAGTTATTTACTTTGATTTCAAGGTTTGAGAATCGTAGCGTGTATCCTCCTGTCAAACACCATGTCTGTACGAACATATTTGTATGTAAGTGCGTCTGTCCATTCTCTATTGTATAACGAGGATCACAATTACGTTGTGTCCAGCATTGTATATATACAGCCACACAGAGAGGTATTTCAAACAGAGATCATGTGATATATCCATATCTATAAATATGAATGCAGTGTGCATTTATGAGGACTGTCCACATTGTTGAACCAAAATATACATATGAATATGTCAACACAACCTGACGAGGGGCGTATCATTAAAAAGAATACATGCGTCACAAAGTCACCCACTATAACAATGATCAGTTATTTCATAAGACACTTCCACCTCGCATATTCGACTACGCTCATTGGCATATAGCAGGTCAGCTGATCAGGGGCTTTCAGTCGTGATGTTCTCAACTCCCTGGGGAACCTACGTCGTCATCTGCGATACTATCTACAGAGACTGGTCATATCCCATGATGCCCCATGATATTTTATCCAACACATGAAACATGGATATTTCCATTTGCTTCTAAATACTGTAGACGTACGTGACACAGTTTGACAACGTCTGAAATGTAAATTTCTTTAAGAGTGTGTTTTTTAAGAGTTTTGTCTCCAAAGCGTACACTGTGTCTTAAAACAAGCTGTAACACAATGTTATATTTCAGCATCAGCCTTGTGGCAGTGTCACTGTACGAGCGGATGTGACGTCAACTTCCGGTGCTCTAGTGACTGTCTCCAGGGCTGGTCTGGCCCCACTTGTGAGAGACGTGAGTAGAACACTACATCTGTATTCAGTACCTGGATTGTTAGCAAATCATCTTATGTCGGACTTTCCTCTAATATTAGGGGGATACGGAGAAAACGGACACCAAAAAAATCGAGAAAACGGAAACAGCGCTGGAGAAAACGGCCTCTGAGCCTAAAGAAAACGGCTTTTGTGCCTGGAGAAAACGGCCAGCATAGTTGCACCAAGATCTAAGGAGATTCTGTTTAACCTAAAAGATAGAGATTGGCTATTCCTAACACATTCACTCACACACACTCCGCGGAGAACACTTCTTTATGTTTAGAACTCCATCAAACATTCTGAAGCTAATTCTTATTACGACATAATTAGTACCAAATAATAACTTGACAGAATGCCATTAATCATACATGGATTTGCCAATATCGTAGTTACTTCGATACTCAATTTCAGTTGATATACAGGTCACCGACCCTTTACAACATGGATAAATAGAGGATACTAAACGACCTTTCGTGTAATTCCATTCTTATTAAACGAGGTAATGATTTGGTATCGATACTAAAACTTCCACGAGTTTAATAAAAATGGTATTTCACGGAAGTGAGTTTCGTATTCTGTTAACAGGCCGACCAAGTCTGTCAATCAAAACGGGCATATGCGTCAACTTTGGCGCGCTGTGTGGATTTGTCAGACTTATTTCCGGGGTCAATCGATGCCTCCGAAGCGATGAGCTTAGAATTACACTCGCTATATCTATTACATATTGCTGTAATTTGATGTGTACCTTTAACAAAACCATTACGATCAAGACAAAAGATCTGAGGCGGATCAAGGAATGCGATAGGCCTAACGAGCAGTTAACTGTCGGCACCGACAGGTTTGTTTACATTGTGTCACTGCTTTCTCGCCTGTCTCATTTCAGGTTTATGGTGTACCAACTCAATGCCCAGTGCTACTAGGGTCGGCCGAAATAGCAAAACTTGTTACATTAAAGAACAATGTGGTTGCCTTCGCCCTAGGTATTCTTAAATTTGTCACACATTTTAGGATGTTTGAAAATTTCAAAAGCACAATCTGAAGGCCTATGTACAGTACAGTATCTGTTGATAATGCAAAATATTCGAGGAGTAATACTTTTTTCTCCAAACGGAAATATTGTCAATGTCAGCAATTGCCTATCACGCAATATCCAAATATCAAAATTAATTCAAATGAGTATCTATAAAACCATATCTTAAATACTTCAGAATTTCTATAAAGAGATGGGACCTTGAATTGATTTAGCTTTTACTCCATGTGGATCGGAGACGAAAACTATGTGAGAAGAATAAGTGACTTTCTGGAATATCGGACGGAGTGAAATATAAGTTTATTTCCTATGAGAACATTATTTGTTTTGAATTTTTGTTACAGCATAATTTTTTTTACATTTAGGGGAGACACATTGGTATATTTTAAAAGTAATAACATAGTTCTGTCCTTTTAATTATTATTCACTGGAAATGATAGCAAGGTATGTTTTAAGAATCTTGCCTCCTTCAGGAAAGGTGGAAAGGTAATAAAATAGGTAATAATCAAGTCAATTATAAATAACTACTTACTGACTCACATATCAGATTAATGTGAATTGCAGGCAGAAATAGGCAAACAAACACTATATACATATCATGCTGAACAATCACTTAGGACTAACTTAGCTAGTTTGTTTTAAGATACATTTGGTCTTTAAATAATATATTTACTAATAAGATTATTCAGAGAGTGATCACTAGTATCATCACTCATAATAAAGTTATTTCAACATCCAGAGAATTTGAAAAAAAAAACAAAGGCTACGTTTTGGTCACACTGTTAAGCGTTTTTTATTACAATTTACCGCGGTATTACAATTTACCGCAGTGTTATTACAATTTGCCGCAGTTTATTACATTTTACCGCGTTATTACAATTTACGTCGTAACACACACCCAGGCATTATTCAGTCTTTGAACCAAATAACTTACAGAATTCTAAGTTGACTATTCATGTAACTGGAATGAATATTGAAACATACATTAAACCCAGATTTGATGTAATACTTCTTAGAAAACATCAGCTTTTGAGGAGGTTACCAATATTTGAAAACTGAGCCAAAGTAGTGTTTATTAAGATGTTGGTTTTGGACAAATTGTTCGAGGTTTGTTGATGCTTATTTGGAAAAAAAGCTTAAATTCATATTAAAATGCACACTGGTTTAATTGCAGGAGGTGAAAGGTTCAGGACATTTTCATGTGTGTTTTCCTAAACTTTTCTTATCACTTTACCAAATTTTTAAGCAACTTTAATATAATTTTGATGACACTAGTACGTATCTCAGAAAAGGAAATAGATCAGAATTAGTGTTATGTCCTAAGGGGATATGGTCTCAGATCTAATGAAACAAAGATTATCATTGTTTAAGAAGCTATAATGTCAATATGTAACTTTATTGACAAAAGTTTTAAACTTTGAATATATACTGAGTCAAAAAAGAAACTTCACATTCTTTCTTCAGGGCACTATAAAAGAACAAGAGATGGTAAGATGGTTAAATTGTTATTATTTCATTGCTGAGATCTGTGTGATGTACTCGATACACTGACAGTGCCATAATCAGTTCCATTAGGATACACCGCCATTCCAAAACATGGGTATACAGAATGTCAAGTCACAAGAATAAAAATGCGAAATTTCTCAGTTCAATATCGTGTATGGCCGCCCCGCGCATTCACCACTGCCAAACACCGTCTCCTCATCGACTGCCTGATGGTTGTGAACACGTGGCTGAGGTTGGTTCCTAAGACCACGAAGCCTTCTCCCAAGTGCATCCCAAACGTGCTCTATTGGATTAAGGTCAGGGGACCTCGATTTTTCACATGTGCAAAAGTGTGGACATTCGTGCAAATTCTCATCTGCAGGCAGACGTAGGTTTCGTGAACGATGGTGCAGACATTTAACTGATCATTAGGCCTATAGCGCTCCTTGATCCGCCTCAATTCCTTTTGTCTTGACCATAATGGTTTTGGGAAATGTACACATCAAATCGCAGCAATATGTAATAGATATAGCGAGTGTAAATGGCATAATTCGAAGCACATCGCTTCGGAGGCGTCGTTTGACCCCGGAAATAAGTCTCACACAGCGCGCCCTGTCTGCTGATTGGCCAAAATTGACGCATGCGCCAGTTTTGATTGACAGACTGGATCTGTCTATTACTCTCCAGCATGAATTGATAGAAACTGCCTACAGTCTGATGACTCTCAGCTTTCTGCGAGTCAAGCAAGGTCTCATACCATTGTGACAGAGGTATTAGCATTGTAACGTCATGACTGTAACTATTATGACGTCATATGTCTAGCGGTATTACACTAGTGTAATATTGCCGTAAAGATATTACAGTGCAGTAGGTCGAGTAACAAAAACATTTATTACTCGCACGTGGAAGATACTGCAGTACTATGCTGGCTGGCCGCATGGAACTCTGTCTGGGTAGGAGAGTGCTGAGAGTCATCACACTGTAGGCAGTTTCTATCAATTCATGTTGGAGAATAATAAACAGAATACTAAACTCGCTTCCATGTAATACCATTTTAATTAAACTCGTGAAAGATTTAGTATCCAACTCGCTCTCGCACATGCATCAGTTTCGAAGTAGGTACAGATTTCTAAATTTGAAGGCATCGTATTTATACATAGCTACATTCTGTATTGTATCAGTGTTGTAACTGGACATTAGAAGCGCAAACTGTTGCCTTGACGGATCCCCAAACGAGCTGAATTCGACCTTCTGGTGATTTCGACGATTGCTGTGCTCGCGCTACATCGGGGAGTGTTCAACAGTTTCACTGGTAGGGCGGGTGCCTAGTCGCTGTCGTGAGAAGTTTTATTGACAATGTAAATCCGGAAGTTAAGTGATATAAAAAGCAAACAAACATCAATATTATTTAGCCGAGATCGTTAATACCACTTCAGATGCAAAATCAATTGCCTATAAAACCAAAAATAGCAAGCAAAAATTCAGTAAGATCAGATAAATAGGAAGCAACGTGATCACAACACTCACGCGCAATGGGGTGCGAAAAGTGTTGCTCATCGTCGAAAACCCATACAAAATCCCCGAATGTGGAGAACGGCAGCAGTTTCACCGGTACGATGTCATCAGCGCAATCTTTGTAGGAAACACTTGATATTTTTGTGTGAAATAGATGAATATATCCTATATTGCCACTCAAGGTTAGTAAAATAAAAACTTTGAATGATATCAAATATAAAACTTACGTTTTTGTCTTGCATCGTCGAAAAACACTAATACCGGGGTATATATTTTTGTAAGAACGCCGCACCCAAAATTTGCCAAATTGCTTCTAAATTTATTAAAACCACTTACACTGATAAACCTTTCCGGTTTAAAGATGCTTTTAAAAAGTTTCTAGTTCTGTAACGTGGACATACTATCAATAGCTGAACAACAATTTGTTATAAATATACCTTTCATCCTTTGCTTAACCACACAAATATATATCCTTGTGTACATAAAATATTTCTAAGTTTAGAAACCCAGTTTCATCTACCATCACTATCATATAGTATAAAAACATATTATAAGTCTTCCTAGCCAACCTTTGTTCTGGCATCATTAAACTTTTTAACTAAGTTTAATTTTTTAAAAATCTTTTGCATTGTGTATATGAGTACAGTAATACAGCATAAGTAGGTGCCTTCCTAGCGAGCTGTAGTTGTCTTTTGCACGGCCATAAGATTGGATGGATAATTGAAAGTTTGATAGGTGTTCGGGCAACTGGGCCCATTTACACCTTGCCCATCATAAAGGTTTGCTACGTTGATAAATGTTTACAAAGTAGTAAAGCTGCCATAAGCTTTAATGTAAGCAAGAATGACATTCTGAACATCATTGCGAGTGATATTACTTGTACACAACAATCCAGTCAAGGAGAGGTCAATATTAAGCGCTGTCAAAGATCCCACCATCGCCGTACGATG